GTAATGTAACACTTGCCACATTCTGAGCATTTGTATGGCCTCTCCCCTTTGTGGGTTCTCTGGTGTACGTTCAAGTTGCACTTGTGACTGAAGCTCTGCCCGCATTCTGGGGCATTTATAAGGCTTCTCTTTAGTGTGGGTTACTTGGTGCGAGGCAAGGTTTGATCTATGACTGAAGCTTCTTCCACATTCCTCACATTTATAGGGCTTCTCTCCCGTGTGACTTCTTTCATGCCTCATAAGGGATGAGCTGGTCTTACAGCTTTTCCCACACCACATACACACAAATAGGGGGCCTCTTCTTTGTGAACTCTTTGGTGTTCATAAACGTTCAACTTGTGTTTGAAGCTTTTTCCACATCGGCTGCATTGATAGGGTCTCTCTTCCACCTGAGTTCCCTGTATAACATTCTCGTTCATCTCTTTGTGCTCAGGCTCTGCTGACAACATCGCACAACGTTCTCCTTCCTTCTCAGTTACCTGCATATCATCTGCTGAAATAAAGGGGAGAAAGTCTTGATGGGACCCCACAGGAGAAGGAAAACTTCCATTGGCTCTCTACTAAACGTGTGGTTTCATTCATTGAAATTGGGCTATTTCCCCATAGTGAGAGTTATTTATTTCCCCCTATGTCTGTTAGAATATGCTGCTGAAAGACACCTTGACCAGCAGAACTTTCATTTCCTCTAAAGCAAGAGCTTAAGAGATTGAAGGGAATTTAATGGCTTAAGAATTACCGGTAGCTTTACTGGAATTAGGTAAAGGTAAAGGGACCCCTGACCATTAGGTCCAGTCCTAACCAACTCTGGGGTTGTGGCACTCATTTGGCTTTATTGGCTGAGGGAGCCGACGTACAGCTTCTGGGTTATGTGGCCAGCATGATTTTAAGCTGCTTCTGGCAAACCAGAGAGCAGCACATAGAAACGCCGTTTACCTTCCCGCTGCAGCAGTACCTATTTATTTACTTGCACTTTGACGTGCTTTCAAACTGCTAGTTGGCAGGAGCAAGTCCTAGGCTCTGTGGTTTAACCCACAGCGCCACCCACATCCCTTTACTGGAATTAAACAACAGTATACTGCTGAAATTTGATGTGTTTGTTGGTTTGCATGCTCTGGGGAAAAAATTATAATACAAGTCCCTGTATAACCTGGGAGAGGGTTTTATTTCTTATGAAACAAAAGCACTTAATTGTGAATGCCATGGGCACAATTCCTGGTTTTCTTCCCTTCCTTAGATAAATAAGAATGTAAGGTATTGTCACACTCTGCAGTTCATGTGGTGACCAGTAGGTGGCCATGCCAACCGAAGCATGTGGAACAGCTGGCCAGCCCAGGTGAGCTGGGGAAGCATATGCAAGGGGGTGAGAAATAAAAGGAGGGCTTTTAGTCAGGTGTGGGGGAAGGGCAAAGGGGTGGGTGGGTTTGGCACATATAGCAGGATAGGGGGAGTCTGAACTTACCCCAAATCCTGCCCTCCCCATCATCCTCTTCCTCCTGGGTTTCATTCTGCAGCTGCCTCTGCTCAACTGAAGATGGAGCCTGGCCTGCAGTGAAGAAATTTGCAGCCGCCTCCCTCTCCTCCTATATCACCAGAAACAGAAGAAAGGAATAATTTCAATAGGAGCCTATTGTTCAAGCTGGAGCAACAACCTCCCATCATCTCTAGCTTTCACTCACATTCCACAAGTGAGAAATCAGGGATGTGCTTGTTTACATACCACACATTTAAAGTATACCCATTTATTGCACACACACCCAATCTCCAAATGGTGTGGTATTCCAGGTTTCCAGGAGCTTACAGAGGGTTCGGTTTCCTCAAAATGAGGGACATCTGAGAGTGTGGTATCTTAATGGTCAATAGTTTATTTACACATCTATGCAACCTGCGCCTCTGAT